GAAGGTAGTGACTCCAAATCGCGATGATAAACAAAATACGACGGCCAAAGCGCGATCCCGGAGGCTGTACACGACGATGCTGACGAAGTTTGACTGCGTGGTAATGGACGACGAAACCTACGTCAAAGCCGACTACAAGCAGCTTCCGGGACAGGAGTTTTATACGGCAAAAGGAAGGGGAAAGGTAGCAGATGTTTTCAAGCACATGAAACTGTCAAAGTTCGCAAAGAAATATCTGGTTTGGCAAGCCATCTGTACCTGTGGCTTGAAAAGCAGCATTTTCATAGCTTCCGGGACTGTCAACCAAGAAATTTACGTGAAAGAGTGTTTGAATAAACGTCTGCTGCCTTTCCTGAAGAAACACGGTTGTTCCGTACTGTTTTGGCCGGATTTGGCATCTTGCCATTACGGTAAAAAGGCCATGGAGTGGTACGCCGCCAACAACGTGCAGGTGGTTCCCAAGGACAAGAACCCTCCCAACACGCCAGAGCTCCGCCCAATTGAGAAATACTGGGCTATTGTCAAGCGGAACCTAAAGAAGACCAAAAAAACTGCTAAGGGCGAGCAGCAGTTCAAGGCAAACTGGCTTTCTGCGGCGAAGAAGGTGGACAAGGTGGCTGTACAAAATCTGATGGCGGGGGTCAAGCGTAAGGCCCGGCAATTCGGATTTGGAAAAGCGGAAGCCTAACTGAATATTTTTCCTAAATTTTATACTAATTGAACTTGAAAAAGAAATTTAATTTGATTTTTTAAATAAACGATTTCACCGATTTACACGCGTTTTCCCTTGACCAAATTTTGACCGTATCACCCTTTATTGACCGTGAAGAGCTACGGAAGATTATGGACGAGAACGGTTTTCCCGGGAAGCTGACCAGACTGATCAGGGCTACGATGGATGGTGTACAGTGCTGCGTGAAGATATCGGGTGCGTTATCGGGCTCGTTTGAAACTCGCAAAGGACTTCGACAAGGCGATGGTCTTTCCTGCCTCCTGTTCAACATTGCGCTAGAAGGTGTTATGGAACGTGCGGGCTTTAACATGCGGGGCACGATCTTCAATACGTCCAGCCAGTTCATCTGCTTCGCTGACGACGTGGACATTGTCGGAAGAACGTTTCAGGCCGTGGCGGAGCTGAAACTTGAAGCATAGAAGGTTGGATTAAAGGTGAATACGTCGAAGACAAAGTATCTGTTAGCTGGAGGAACCGAGCGGGATAGGGCTCGCATAGGCAGAAGCGTGACAATCCACGGAGATGAGTTCGAGGTGGTGGATGAATTTGGGTACCTCGGATCATTGGTGACGTCGGATAACAACTGCAGCAGCGAAATTCGTCGGCGTATTATTGCCGGAAGTCGTACTTACTAAGGACTCCACAAGACCCTGAGGTCGGGTAAACTTTACCTCCGTACTAAATGTACCATGTACAAGACGCTGATAAGACCGGTAGTTCTCTACGGGCACGAGATGTGGACGATGCTCGCACTTTGTGTTTTCGAACGACGAGTGCTTAGGACCATCTTTGGTGGGGTATGTGAGAACGGTGTATGGAGGCGAAGGATGAACCACGATCTGGCGCAACTCTATGGCGAACCCTGTATTCAGAAAGTTGCGAAAGGCGGACGGGTACGATGGGCGGGACACGTTTTAAGAATGCCGGACAACGATCCTGCAAAAATTGTGTTTGCCTCGAATCCGGCCGGTACATAACGAAGAGGAGCACAGCGTGGTTAAACCAAGTGGAGCAGGATCGTGGAAGTGTGGAACGGTCAAGAAATTGGAGACAAGCAGCCACGGACCGAGTGAATTGGTGTAACATTGTGATGCAGGTGAAATCCTGAGGGATGTCGGACCAGGATAAGTATGTTATTCGTACGAAAAGAAGAGTACCATCCATCCTGCGAAGATCGGATTTCATTTTGGAACGATCGAGCATCTATGGCTTGATAAATACTCACATTCAGTATTAGAAAGTTCACCAAAATTCACTACGAATCACGATTCTTTTTTTCAATGATGAACTTCGTGCAATATCCCGAACTTTTCCAACGCTGCTAAAATGCTCGCCCATATGCTTTACCCAAAGGTCACCCACTGGATGCCTTATCTCCGGTCTTGCCGATTATCTTCGGGACGAAAATTTGGTATGTACTTCGATGGGATAACCACAGGACTTTATAGGGATGTCCATAACATTTTGAAAGATTTTTAAGTACTGCTATAAGCTCTTGAATCGTGAATCGCCCACGTTTGTCATCTGTTCACCGGCAAGGCATCAATAATTCAAAAAGACCTCGCAGAATTTTGTGGACGGGTTGAATTTGCATGATCACCGTATTGGTTTGATCGTTTCTAGTTCCTCTTCCACCTCCCGACCCGCTAACGTTCTAATGAGAATGAAGGTGAATGCTTGCCATGATCTATCAGAGAAATTGAGATTGTAAACACAATCATAAAAGTCGAAACTTTCGGTATTGCCAAACTCATGGAATATTAACACCTTGATAGGCCCTGTTTGATTGTCCTTGATAGGCACGTTCGTCATAACGCTTGGCACAGCTTTCGGCACAACTCAATCACTCGGTACGAATTAAGGTGTGCAGAGTTGAATACCCCTTGGATAGTACCTATTTATTTGGAAATTTGCTGTAACACTCAGAGGACAACAACTTAAGAAAAGGATGACTTGCAAATACTTTAAATTAGGTTTATTATTCCATCGCTTGCATTTCCATATTGAATAGCCATGAACAGCCATTCCATCATGGATACAAACAATCGTTGGTTAGTAGAGGAAACTTCCACCACCACGAAATAGACAATCTTCGGATTCCACGCTTTACCAATGTTTGAACCCACCTCTGATAGCGATGATAGAATTATTTACATCAGCGTTTTGGATGATTTGTGTTATGGGGCTAAACCAATACTAGGGTTACGGTATGTAATGTGGGTCTAGTCCTTTCATTCGGCCTATCACGCAAATAAATAATTAATTAAGGAATATTACACAAAAAATAAGGAAAATATTGATCACTGATGATTGATAAATGTGTACCACACACAAATCAATTTATATCACAACATTTCAATACATTTTCAGCTCTCGTAAGTAATAAAACTGGTTGAGAATATCACTCTGTTCGGAGTTTTTAGCCGCCATGACTTCTAAGGTTAAGATGGGAAGGTTGCACTGACGATCATCAAATGGCCTGATTATGGCATTTATTGAATGGAATTACCTGATAATACACACTAGACGTAAAACTCACAGTTACTGTTTGAATATTTTATGTTTATTTTAATTGTTTAACAACGTTTTCACAAGTAAATCATGGACCCAACTTTAGGGACACATTTCTTTTCTATGTTCCTAACTTTGGCCCATGAAATTCATTTGACAGCATATAGCAATAAGAGTAACGTCAACAATGTGGTTTGCATTTGGATGATAAGGAACGAACAGGAAGGGAGATTTTTTCTGCCAAATCTGTATAATGAACATCACAATGTTTTGATTTAGATATTCTGCGGTCGAAAGACGATAAGCGAAATTTTTAATTTTTAATTTTTAACTTGAGTGATTTAATGTAGTTTTCGTAAAATTTTCTCTAAGAAATGTTTTGAGGAATGAAGAGTATTAAGTTAACAGTGATAGTGATAAAAAAAAATACATAAGAAAACGTTACCAAGAGCGTTTTTTTTGAGAATCAAACAGGATAGGACGAAGTTGCATCCATAAATAGACCCAATTTGGGGACAATAGACCGATATTACATACATTTCCCTGGTGAGTTTTTGTCTTAAAAAAAGTAAGTTTTTCAACTTTTTGCGGTTCCTGATAGCAAACGACATGATAAGCATATCTAAGCATACCATTTAGCAGTAGAATATCGTTTGCAGGTAAATTAATTGATGAGTTATGATCAGCGAATCCAAACACATAAAGCAACCAACGATACAGACAAAACGGTTGCTACGACTACCATGACAAACACGCTCTGTAACAAAGCTCGATCCGAGTGGTAGAAGGATAATGATATATTGCTTGCCTGCTTTGTTGCAATATACACGGATGAGGACATAGCTTGATATGAATCGGGAAAAGACATAACAAAAAAAATTCCCATTAACACACGTGTATCATCTTCGGCTTTACTTCGTGAAGCAGCTTGCCAACAATTTGCTCGTTTCCTTCTACCGCCCCGAATCAGTCGGGTCGCACGAGCTGCTTGTCATGAAAAAGAACGGTGAAGATTATATCATTATTGTTTTCAACTTCTGACATAGCGTTATTATTCGGTTCGTTGATCGCTTGTTATTTTGTCATTTGGAGATATTTTTGATTCCTTGGTTATGATTAAAAACGTAATCTATGGCTGCATATTAGACCGAGGTTAGGGACGTATACCCTATATGCATTTCAATTTGGAATGACAATCATTCTACAGAGAGCATTACATATTTCAACTGAGGTCCGTTCGCTTCTCGTATCAATGTTCATCCTGTATTCGAGAGGAGCATCATCTGATTACAAAACCACCGTCATCCGGATTCGCTATCAGTCGAAAAAGCGATTTCGATGTTTCGATTTGAATGGTCTGAGGTTTCATTCGAACAGAGGATGATGTTTTGGTACAGTGTAATGCTTTCCAGCATGGTGAATGAGATCAATCCAAATTTGCTCCATGTTTTCCCGTGGAAAACCTCAAAAATCTTCCGAAAACAAAATCAGTCTATGAGTAGTACCAATAGACTGAGAGAATCCAATCTTTAATCCTGGAAAAAAACATGAGTCAAATTTACCCTTCGCTGAGCTTCTGCATTTTTTGCAATTTATGAGTTAACTGAATTCAAATTTGGGCTGATCTTATTGGCCGTGAGTGCATACAAACATTTCCATGCATTTTCTCGACCAATTCCTGCACCAAATATTCAAGCATCTACTTCATCTACTTCCAAGCATTCAAAAAGCATACCAAAGATGCAAAACTACTCACCGTCAGCTGCCCGCAGAATGCCAACATCTCCGCCAGCGTTGGATGCTGCCGTTGCTCACCGTCGCCGTCCTTCCGCTCGTAGATGGAAACATGTCGCAGCTGCCGCTGGCCGCAATCTTCCGCGCAAACACGACACGCCGATTGGACCGGATTTTCCATCGCACTCAATATAGGTTTCAACAATATCACATTTTTGTTCAATTTGAAAGCGACGCGAAGATGCTACAGTGGACGATCGATTGTGTTTATGTTTATGCGGGCAAACACGGTAGACTTTTGAATAAGGCGCATTACAACACAAGTTTCCAACTTGCTTTTTAATGGAGCGAAATGTTACGAATTTTACCACCATTTACTACAATTATGTTTCAAAAGTCAAAACCAATTTTAAATTGCGTTAGAAAGTGATTTTGCTTCACAAGCTTTCTAAAACAATTAATTTTCATCATTTTAAAAGTTTTAAAATGAACCTCATCTGAACTTCCAAAATCCGACCGTCAGCACCATTCACCACTCTGACAGCTCGCTCTCCAGTATCAGGATGCGCTTTTTGAGAGAGAGAGAGAACACTTTTCTCGCTCCCGAGCTAACCTCCAAAGTCGCGTGTTTTTGTTTACATCTCACATTTGGGAAAAAGTCGCGTGCATCTCGGTCGCTGGAATTTCATGCCATTTTCCGGGGAAAATCCGGCTCGAACCAGGTAAACAATGTGCATTGAGACAGCGGAAAAGGCAGCTCCAGTGAGAAACAGTGAAAGCAGTACGAAAACTAGCATGGATCGCTCGGAAAAGGACGACAATGGGTTGCGAATCCGTCGCATAGCGGGTGGCTGCATGATCAGCCATGCTCCGCTGTTTTCAGCGGATGGCAAGTAAGTGATTTTCATGGATGTAAAAGAATTTCCCAAAATTTCGATTTAATTTCCAGCACAATCTACGTCGTTTGGGATAATACGATCCGGGCATTCAGTGTCATTACTGGTGAGTGTGTGCGGGATTACGAAGGAGCCGACGACAACATCGTCGGAGTATTCATCAACCGGAACAATCCGAAGTTCCTGTACGGATGTACCCGCAGTGGACAGATTCTCGGTTGGAAGGCCGATTCCGGAGTGCTGCAAGAGTGCAAGCAAATACTTCTGAACACCCGGTTCCCGGTTGACCACTTTAGCATTATGTACGACGAGAACGACGTAGTAACTTATCTGATAACTGGGGGATCGACCAAAACCATCGCTATGATCTTTTGCCCTTCGAAGTGGAAAGTTCTGCAGACGCTACCGTTGAAGTTTGACAAACCAGTGTCGCAAATAAAACTGGCCCCCGGAGGAGATAAGCTGAACTATTTTGCGATGATAACGGACGACCTGTGGCACTGGGTCACGATCAAGCCCTGCATCCGGGTGTTCACCAAAAAGCACTGCAACGGCGTTCAGACGCGCGTGGTGACGTGTCATCCGACGGAGGACATCGTTGCCATTGGCGATGTCATCGGGAGAGTGGTTCTATACAAGAATTTCCTCGCCACGAAGAAACCCGTTCCGGAGATGTACCATTGGCATCCAAATCCGGTGCAGTGTGTGGTGTTCTCGCAAACGGGGACACACTTCTATTCGGGTGGCTTGGAACGGGTGCTGGTCAAGTGGACGGTGGGAAAACAGGGGACCAAGGACATTCTACCGCGACTATCGGATTCGGTTGTACAGGTCGCAGTGGCTCCAGAGAATCTGAGGGTGGCCTTGTGCACCGGGGACAATGGGATTCAGATTCTGAACGCCCTGCAAAAGCAAACGGCGGTGGTGCAGAGTTTTTCGCGGATTTCCGATGACTATACCGGGCGGAATCCGTACCCGATCGGGATCCGGGTCAATCCCCGGACCCAGGCGATGATCCTGAACGGAAGAATCGGATGCATTCAATTCTTTTCGACTTACACTAGGAGTTTGCTGTACACGGTAAGTTAATGGACGTTAGGGCACTGACAGCTTCAGATCTGACGATTTTCGTTAATTCCCCAATTCCAGTTGGACATCACTCTGCGGAACTACAACACGCTGGAACAGAAAAAGGTCATCTACAACACGGTGGTCACGAACGTGGCAGTTAACGCCTTCTGGCTGGCGACGGTCGAGAACTGGAACGACAACTGCTACTCATCGGAAACCCGGCTCAAGTTGTGGAGATACGACGAATCCCGCCAGAACTACTCGCTCAACACGAACGTCGAGAACGTGCACATCAACGGAGTCAACGGGCTGGAGTTCTCCAGCAGTTCCAAAGAACGGGACGTCCTCTGTGCCACAGCCGGCAATGATCGGTGCGTCAAGGTGTGGTCCCTGGAAGAGATCGAAATGACTGGTGGTGGTGAGAAGCTGGTCTGGATTTGCGTCGGTCGCGTGGACTATAAAAATTTGCCCGCCCGCTCGATATCCTTCTCCCAGGATGGATCGCTTCTGGCCGGAGGATTCGGAAATGTCCTCTGTGCTTGGAACGCGGAAACCCTCCGCCTCAAATGCGTCCTTTCCGCTCCGGCTGGTTACGACGGTGGTGCTTCTCGGATAGTTCTGTCAGTCCCCACCAAAAAGAACTCCGTGGACAAAAGCGATTACCTCGGCAAGAAGTCCAAGATCGTCCAGCAACTGCTGGAGGTTCTGGAATCAAGAGACGCTTCCAGCCTCTTCAAAAACGTCACACCGTCCAAGAAGAAACGATTCCTGGAGAATCAAACCAAACCAAACCCAAATTTGTCCGAGAGTGAAAAGAAGCTCATATTCAAGCGTGTTCAGCTCCAAAACGAGCTGACACTGCTGCAGAAAGCTGAACTATTCCACCGGCTACGCATCCAGTGCCGAACAGCCGGTCAGATGAAGGAGAAGATTGCCGACAAGCTCGCCAAAGCCAAGCAAGTCTCAACAGAAACCGAAATCCGGCTCCAAAAGGCGATCGACAACATCTGCTCCAACGCTAAATTCCGCTGCAAGCGGAAGCTCCGTCAGTACCAATGCCGGAACGAACCAACCCTAAGTCTGTCACACTTCACCAGTGTCTTCGATTCCGAGAGGGACTACAACTCTCGCAAAGTACCACAGAAGCAACTCCAAAACCGTCAACCACTGAAATCCACTGCACAAATCCGGCACGTTCTGTTTTGCTACGGCGAACACTCCCATCTGGTTGTAATGTGCACCGACAACCGGTTGCTCGTTTGGAACCTACTGACGCTCCGGATGCAAGTGACCGTCAACCTAAGCGTCGACCGTATTGTGATCGATTCGTTCACCAATCTGATCGCTGTTTTTACCACCGATAACGAATGTAAGTCACTTAACTTCATGGGAGAAAATTTCCTCAAATCACACGGATCGATTCGTTTCAGTGTACATATTTCTCCCGAACATTCCGATGCCGCTGTACCAGCGGAAGAATCTACCCACGGTGTTCGGAGCGGCTTGGATTCCCCGAAGGTTCCCCAAATCGCAATCTTTGAATGTGGACTGGCAAGCCGTTTCGCACTTGTATTTCCTAAATGATAATCAGGTAGGTAGCTTCTGAAAGTTTAGTTGAAAATATCGTGCCGATTTAAGCCTCATCACAATTCTAGGAACTACTGCATTTGGTATCGGATAGCGACGAGGAGTCACTTGGCCCGGTGGTCTATATGAATGATGTGGTCGGAAGTGGACTGCCGAATACGCCGTTCGCAGCGATGCTGGCCAAGCAGCAAACCGGAAGTGGAATTCAAATGGGTGCGGCGAATGACGCCGGACGGATTGGAGTGGCTGGGAAGAGCAGCGTCAATGAGGTTAGTGCAATTTGTACTGCTAGTAACATCAAAATTCCGTTGATGAACACTCTGTGTTTTCAAAGCTAGAGGTGGGCTTCTGTTTAACGAGTAAAAGATCGTGGGTTCAATAATTGTCTTGGACATCTGTTAAATAATTTTACCTAGAAAGACATGATGAGGATATCGAAAATTCCATCATCACCTGGAGCTTTCATATTTTGAATCTTTTTAGTTATACAGGGTGTCGACTACCTAGAAAACCTGGAAAGTCAGGGAATTTTAGTGTAGGTCAGGGAAAAAAAAAATGTTGATTACATTGCTAAAAATTATGTGTGGGACACATAAAACAATCTTTGAAATTTTATCAGTGCATGACGTCAACGTTTTTGGGAAGATCCCGGGGCATCAGATCTACTCGCTGCGTTTATGGACGCCCTTGCCGGTATCTCTTCGAACAAGTTGTTGCAAGTGTCCATGGATGGGCCTAATGTGAATTGAAGCTAGAGGTACAAGAAGCTGATAGAGGTGGCGAGAAGCTGATAGATCTGGGAAGCTGTGGGCTGTATATTTTGCATAATGCATTCAATGATAGTGTTTGCAGTATCAGTTGGGATGTTGTCAAATATTTGCGTGGTATCCAGAATATCTTCAAAGATGTACCAGCAGAACGAACGTTTATCACGATGTATTCTGGATCTACCATATTCCCGCTAAAGTTTTGCGGTCACCGATGGTTGGAAAATAGTGCTGCTGTTCAGAGGGCAATCAAAATTACTCCGCAAATACGAAAATTTATTCAAGGCGTCCAGAAAGACAAAATCGAAACAACGTCTGTTTCCTACCAAGATGTTAAAAACGGTTTGAATGACTTGCTGCTGATGGCTAATAGAACGTTCAGACTACAGAGTTATAACATGTTATAGCGCTATCCTGATGGTGGTCTCTGTGTAGCAATTATTTGACAACCGTTATAACATGTTATAACTCTCCAGTCTGAACAAGGCATAAGCTAGCTTTCTTCAAATCAGTTGCTGTCGAAGTTGAGCCATTTCTATGCGACGGACAACCCTATGGTGCCTTTTTTGTGCAACGCGATGTCTCAAATGGTTAGAGGCATTATGGAAAGGTTCATTAGCATTGATCATCTGAACAATAATGCACAGGTAAATGTGCATTTGATCAATATGATCGCAAAAAGGAACGACTGGACGTCGGCGTATCCAGAACTATTGTTGGTTGTGAAAATGATTGGTTGCTTATCGCATGGCAACGCCAATACAGAGAGAGGTTTTTAGGTAAATCTAGATAGATCTGGAATTATGGCGTAACAGCTTTTGTAAACAATGACTTCTATCGACGATTTCTAGGAACTCAATGCACGCCCACGCAAACCAACATAACCGCCGGGTAGGGGAAGCCTTCCTATACCCGATGGTGCTGTTGATTTGCGTTGGTGAGCCTTAACTTTCTAGCAATCATCGAAAGAAGTCATTGTTTACAAAAGCTGTTACGCCCTAATTCCAGCTCTATCTAGAAATGCAGAATATCTTTTTGAAAAAAAATAGCATCAGTCCAGCATCAAAATGAAAGCATATTGAAATCAAGTTTTGATATCAACATCAAACTGAAATCCTAATTTGATTTCAGTTTATGCAATTGATAAATTTTGTTTTCATTTTGCTGTACATTTGCTCTTCAAAAATATGTTGTTGCGGGTTTGATTTCATTGCCTTAGCATAACATCAAATTGAATACTTGTTTTGTTATCAACATGAAAAATTGATATCAAATTGAGTATTCAGTTTGCTCTCACTGATAGCAGAAATAGTTTTCAATGTGATGTCACAGGAAGATATGTTTGCTATCAATTTTGATATTTTAACCGTTAAAACGACCAAAACGACAGCATTTATCATTTTCAGCGAAATCACAACATCAAATTTAGATTTCAATTTGATCTCAGACTTTGCTCGTGTGCTGTGTCCATGATCGGGGGAAAAAAATTAAATAATACCACTGAACTGTTCAAAAGTTCATCTAATTGAGGTTAACCACTAACGGTGCAAATCCTGATTGGCGGACAAAAGTTGGCGCTACTTAGTGGCGTAAGATAGAAATTTTGACATTTATTTATTTAATTACATCAACAGGCTGGATGAAGCCCCAATGATTTAAACCTTATCAACTATGGTAAAAAAAAAATACATTCAAGCATGGTCATAACATAAAAAACATTAAAAAACGTATATCTTATAGTCAATATCTTAACTCCTGCCGGCGAAAAACAGAAGAAAACTTTCGACGAAGCGCATCACGGGAGAGATGAAAGTCGAAAACAGATGCAACTCTGTTGAATGTTCTCTGCAGTCCGCAAATCGCACCGTACGCTCCATAATTTGTGCGACGTAGAGGCAGTCTTAGCATAAGGTTATTACGAAGCGGTCGGGGTTGAACATTCAGGTCAATTTGCCTCAGGATAGCCTCACAATCTGTCCTTCCTTGTAGGATATCGGCCACGGTAAGGGCTCTGTTTGTGTCTCTTCTAGTCCGGAGAAGTTCTAGGTCGATAAGTTGACAACGGCTTTCGTAGCTTGGTAATCGAAACGGATCGTTCCAAGGCAATCTACGCAACGCAAAACGAAGAAAGCGACGTTGAACAGATTCAATTCTCTCGGCACCGTTGTTGTAGTTTGGGTTCCAAACCGCTGAACAATATTCAAGCGTCGATCGAACAAGCGAACAATAGAGAGATTTTAGACAGTAGATATCAGTGAAGTTTTTAGCTATCCTAAAAATGAACCCTAAAGTTCTTGACGCCTTATCAACAACATATGCAATGTGTTGCTTGAAAGAAAGCTGCGAATCCAAGATCACACCCAAGTCTTTCACCTGATTCACGCGTTCGATTGTCGAGCCAAGCAGGTCATAGCTAAATATTATCGGTTGTTGTTTTCGTGAGAACGTAATAGCGGAGCATTTGGCTGGGTTCACTACCATTCTGTTTAACCTGCACCAACTAGCGAATACATTCAGTTGACGTTGAAGAAAGTGACAGTCAGCAATGGAGCAGATTCGTAGGAAGATTTTGAGGTCATCTGCATATGATAACCGAGGAGCTTCGATGACCAGATGCACGTCGTTGAAGTACAGTATAAAAATTAACGGTCCCATGTGGCTTCCCTGAGGTATACCTGATGTGGCGAAGAAGCTAGCTGATCTGCAATCTCCTATGGCAACTTTTAGTTGCCGACCGGTAAGATATGATCGAAACCAACTCAGAAGATTACCGCATACACCGAGCCTGCCGAGTTTAGCAATCGCAATAGCATGGTTCAACTTGTCGAATGCTGCGGATAGGTCTGAATAAATAACGTCCGTTTGAACCCGATCCGACATGCTTTCGGTTATATACGATGTGAGACACAGCAGATTGGTAGTTGTAGAGCGGCCGACAGTAAACCCATGTTGATCAGCACTCAAAAACTGCTTGCAATGGGACAGCAACGGTTCCATAATCACTAGCTCGAATAGCTTCGAAACGGCACTTAACGATGTAATTCCTCGATAGTTATCCACAGCTCGTTTCCTTCCTTTTTTGTGGACGGGAAACATGTGCGCAAATTTCCAGCAAGATGGAAATATGCCACCTGAGAGAGACATTCGAAACAGGCGAAGAAGCGGAATTAACAAGCTAGCAATATGTCTCTTCAAAAATACAGGTGGAACTCCATCAGGTCCAGGATTGAAGGATGACTTGAGCAGAGTCGCGGCCTTAGAAATCATTTCTGTATTAACATCAATTGCACCCAGCGTTTGATCGTTTACTGGAACGTTCCTGGCAGCCAAGTTAATATGGTCGTCAGTTAGTGTCTCATTAGTGAATACACTGGCAAACTTTTCGGAAAAAAGGTGGCATATATCCTGAACAGTCGCAGCAACTTCTCCGTTGAATTCCATAGACGATGGGAGGCCGGATTCCCTGCGTTGCTCGTTCACGTAGTTCCAAAAGGATTTCGGGTGTAGCTTAAGTTTGCGCTGGATGCCTCGTTGGAAATTTGAAAAGCATTCACGACTGACTCGCTGGTACATGTGATTCAGCCTCACATAATGTAGTTTCAGAGGAAGCGTGCGATACTTCGTAAATCTTCTCAATGCTGCTCTCTTAATTGACTTCAACCTACGTAGCTCTCTCGTTTGCCAGGGAGGGTGAGACACTTTGTGGTGAGTTCTTTTCGGGACGTGTCTGTCAATGACATATGCCAAGACATGTGAAAAGGTTTGCGCTGCAGCCTCAACGTCATCTGGATCAAGGATGTTCTCCCATACCATGCTAGACAATACATCTATGATGCTACGGTGGTCAGCTTTACGGAAGTCATAAGAAACCGTAGCAGTATAGTCGCCAAAATCACGCACGTCCTCAACAGTGACAATTAGAGGAGGGTGATGTGGAACTAGCTTAGTTAGTGCACAAGGAGCCGAGGAAATTAATGGAGCCCTGTCCTGTGTGCTCACGAAGCAGAGGTCCAAACTACGACCATTTTCATTAACTACATGGTTAATTTGAGAAAGCGTCGCTGCGCTGTAGTTGTCGAGAAGGCTAATAGCTCCTGCGTGAAATGTAGATCTATCAGGATCTGGATACAGGAATCCGCTATGAGATGGACTCCACGAAACGCCTGGCAGATTGAAGTCACCAAAAATGAATATCTCATCAACTGGAGTGGAACTTTCGACAACTGTGAAAACTGACCGACAGTGAGTATCGATGAGTTCATTGTCGCGGACTCGATCAGGTGGAATGTACAGAGCGCATAGAAATAGTGTGCGATCACCCAGATTGATGGCTGTCCAAACCTGCTCCACATTGTTCCATGAATCGTTCTCGATGGCCTTTGCCTCCAACCCGCTACGGACAGCTACAAGGACACCTCCGCCAGTAGATTTACGGCTGTTGTTAGGATTCCGATCGCAACGAAAGACCTCGTAGTCAGGACCGAAGACTTGACTGGAAAGCG